TTTTATAATTAAAATCTTAATTTATACGTCTAATTTAATTTAATTTAATTACAATTGAAATAAGTTTTTAGTTAAGTATTAAATAATATAATTAATTAGAATAATTTATTTAAATATATATGAATTTTTTTAAAAATATTTTTATGTCATTTTATTCAATCTTTCTGAAATGAATTTCAATTATATTGAATGTGATAATGTACATTTTCCATAAAATATTATTTTATCATTGACATAATCAGAGATTTTATTGGACACATGAATTTGATTTCCCAAATGTTTCTAGAATAATTATATCTTGCACTATTGAACCTATTATCCAGGACGACTCTCGATATTGTAATCTCTCATGTGTGAACTTTCCACATCGCTAGTCAATTCATGCATCCTTTAAGGATCTGATGATCAGAATAATGTTATCCTTTTTATCTTTTAATTTTCTTTATAAATTGTTTTTTTTTTGCTAATAGAAAATTATTCGAATTAATTATCAATTTTTAATTATTAATTAAAGTAGGATTTGAAAAATAATTTAGTATGGTTAAAAGTTAATTACCTTAAAAATTTCCTAATAAAATTGAAAAGTTTAATTATTTTTTTTGTATAAAATATACTACAGTAAAACACCGCCAATTCGGATTAATAAGGGTGAAGGTAGCAAGGGTCTACTATATTAACGCTTTTAATATAAGTTATTTTATTTATATTTATAATAAAAATTTACTAATTTTTGCCATTAGTTTTTAATGAGATAAAAATGTAAATTAATTATAACATCGTCACAATGCAGGGGTTGCAATTTTTAATTTATGTAATTTAAAATATACGCTCTCCACCTGAAATTAGTAGTCATGCCCCTGTACATCGTGCTTTTCCTGATAACAAATATGTCATGCTGTAAACCTTCTATACTCTCTTTAAATTTTGTGACGATATTAAGCTAAGTATTTTATATGGAGAGAGTAAATATAACTGTATATTAAAAGCAATTATAAAGACATATTAATAACTCAAATATTCTGAATAGAAACACAGCATACACTGAATGAAAGGATGATTATGTTAAATCACCCTCTCATAGTATCATGATGTGTTTGGAGTATTAAGTTTAATCAACTGATTTATTAATTTTAATGTTCTAAATGTATGCATAAGAATGAATTACTTTCTATTTAAGTAATTCTGTCCTTTGTTAAGGTTGTGAAGGGATGTAGATAGAAGAGAATCGAGATTAGAAATGGCAAGTATAAGGACCCGATTAACTAAAATTCCATATGTAAGTAATTTAAGAGTCAATTAATTATATTTATGTGTGTTTCAAATACAATATAAATCGTAAACTGAGTTTAAAATAACAAATTTTTCTTTTAAAATATGGTGAAAATATATTTAATTCTAAGATAAATTATATTAATAAATATGAAATTTATAAGATTTTATTTTCGTTCTGGATGAGAATTTATTATAAAGCATAGAAGTTTAATATAGAATATTTCTTTAAAGAGATAAATAAGTATATAAATTATTTTAATAGTTGATAATTTATTATAAAATATTTTACTTGATTTAGTTGAATAAATTTTTGATGAAACAGAAAAGAATTATTTGTTTATAGTATGGTTAATACGACAAAATATAACTTGAATAATGAGGTATTTATAAATATACTAGGGGGCTTCACTCTCCTCGCTTGCCCCTACCGACTTCGCTCACTTATTCAAAAATCTTGTAAAGATTTATCAATTATAAATGAAAAAGAACAGATGCCATTTTTTTCTTGGAATAAAACTGTCTTTTCATAATTATCATACCATTAGTGGCTGAGCAAATAAAACCACTAAACACTAGTAGTTGGTCGCGGGTTTGTGCCTGACCAATACGCTAGCCACGTGGAGTTTTCCGGATTTTTTTCATGTGTCTAACATCTAAATAGGTGCCAATTTTTCTTAGAAGTCTGGCAAATCGCCCAATTGAGTTGTCTTATTCCATCAATCCAATCCGTAAAGTTACGTACTGTACACAAAATACTTTTATTGTACCTTAAAATATGTATTCATTATTACATGAAAATTGAATATACTTTAGAAAATACTGCATTATACATAATTGTATCTATATTCTACAGTACTTATTATAAACATATTTTTATTAATTTTGATATTTATACTTTGTCATAGGAATCTTACAAGTTAGGCATAAATATTAATTATTGAGCAAAATTATGGTAAAAAATAGTTACATTTTGAATTATCTGAAAGATATAAATAATTATATTGTAGATTACAGTAGAAAGAGATTAAAATGATGCATTTTTCTTATTTCTAAGCATGTCTCCCTTTGTATAATACAAAGTTTATTAAATTCATAAAACACACTCGATAGATGTTTTGATATCTTTTGTAATTTTGTACAGATTGATATCTTCTCCTGTAAAATATAAATAAAAATCTTCATAGAGGATAGATAAAAGATATATATCTTAATATGTATCTGCTCTTTATTTTAGTATTTTTGAATTTATTTTAATATTATAACTGATAGTTGTATGAAATGATGATTAGATTAAAAAGTTTTCTAGTCTCAAAGAAAAACATTAATGATATATCTATAATTTTTTGAAATGTTCTTAGATAAAGAAAGCAAACTTTTGCAAATTATTATGTAGATAAATTTGAAAAATGATGATCTTATAAGCTTATATTTTTAGTTTTATATTTGTATAAAGAATAGAAAATGTTACAAATAATAAATTTTGTTAGCAAAGAATGTTGCCAAAATCATTTTTGTAGAATTATTATTATTATTACTATTATTAAAAAGGCAGAAAAGTCATAAAAATGAGTTTTTCAAGAAGTAAAAATACTAAAGTATAATTTTTTTAATGTATTTTATTATAAATTATTAGCATCATTGTTTAGTATTAGTTATAAATATAGTTTTTATATTGTTATAACTATAATACAACTCATTCAAATTGTGTATACAACTAATTAAAATATGCTCAATTAAATGAACAAATAAAATTAAATTGTAAGCTTCTTGTCTCCAATCAATGAATTACTTAACTATATCAAACTTCATATAGTATGGAAGCATCAAAATAATTGAGATCACATCTTATATATATATATTATATGTCTGTTGAAAGAGAGAAAAATGATAATCATATACAGTATATATATTCATCTACCTCCTGTTCCTACATCATATTAAGTCAGGTCATAATGTTATCCAAGCTTTAATTATCCACAATCTCTCTTCAAATATAAACAATAAATCATAGAAGAAAATTATTCTGAAAAGTTTTTATTAAATTAGCTATTTAGGAAACTTCAAATCATCATCATCATCATCATCAACAGTTTTTTAAATTGATATTTATTAAACTTATAATTTCCTTTTTCAGTTCATATATTCATTTGAATTTATCCAGGCGTAAATTACTAAGAAATTATAATTAACATTTCAAAAATTAGTTAATTATGTGGAAATGAATTAATTTAATGTGAATGTGATAATGTACATTTTCCATAAAATATTATTTTATCATTGACATAATCAGAGATTTTATTGGACACATGAATTTGATTTCCCAAATGTTTCTAGAATAATTATATCTTGCACTATTGAACCTATTATCCAGGACGACTCTCGATATTGTAATCTCTCATGTGTGAACTTTCCACATCGCTAGTCAATTCATGCATCCTTTAAGGATCTGATGATCAGAATAATGTTATCCTTTTTATCTTTTAATTTTCTTTATAAATTGTTTTTTTTTTGCTAATAGAAAATTATTCGAATTAATTATCAATTTTTAATTATTAATTAAAGTAGGATTTGAAAAATAATTTAGTATGGTTAAAAGTTAATTACCTTAAAAATTTCCTAATAAAATTGAAAAGTTNGTGTACCACCCGGGTTTTGATATAGAGAACCTCTAAAATTTAGTCTTCTATGTAAATACAAAGAAAAAAGTTAAGAAAATGATATAAATTAAATTTTTTTTCTATTTGTTTCATTTATACGTACCCTTTTATGGCCCTCTTTATATTTTATATGTAACCTTACACCCTGTGTCTTTTTGTATACATGCAATACTGTATTCTACAATCTAACAGAAACACTCATTTTACCAAGAAAGCAAAAATTTATTTAATGAATAAATTAGAATATATATAAACTATGGAACAATATGTAATTTCGACATTTAGAATTCACAAATAAAACATTGTTTACACTTAAAAGAATATCGTATATTATAAATTTGAATTAGAAATTCACTCCATCTGATTAATAAATTCATGAATAAAATACCAAATACAATATCATATAAAAACTTATTTTCTCTTATAAAATATTTTCTTATATTTAAAGATTCTTGATTATTTCATTATTCATCTGTTTAATTAATTAAAAAAAATAATAATATAAATCAGTTCCATATGCGTTTTTAATTAAAATAATTTTAATTTATCTCATCATATATTAAAGATGAGTTTCATTTTAGTGCAATTATTAGATACAATGCATGTAAGGATACATCAATTGACAAGCGATGTGGAAAGTTTACACATGAGCGATTACAGTATCGAGAATCATTCTAGATAATAGGTTCAATAACGCAGGATACAATTATTCTAGAAACACATTTGGGAAATCAAATGCATATATCCAATAAAATCTCTGATTATGTCAATGATAAAACAATATTTCACGTATACAAATAAATATAAAATCCATATAGTGTATCACATTACATTCAATTAAATTTTCCCTTACATAGAAACATAATTTCAGCATACGCAACACATTTAGTAAACGTAATGATATGTATTTAAGTAGAAAAGAAGTTATCATCCTCATTTATTTAAGTATAGAAATAATAATATTTAAGTAAAAGATAATTACGTAAATTATAATGATAATGTGCTTATAAATTAAATAAAAATAACATGAAAATGATGCTGTAAATATAGAAAAGATTTATAAGAAATTACCTTGATCTTTAAAAGTGACTGCAGTCCAAACAAGTTTAAAACCAACAACTTTTTTGTCTTCTTCTTCTCTTTTTTCTTCAACAGATACGGATGTCTGGAATCTAAAAAATAAAAATAAAATAGAAGAAAATCAAATTTTAATCGTTTTAAATTCTTAACATGATTTTTTTATAAGAGGAATTGACTATGATAGATGAAAGAGAAAATCACAAAAATTTTATTTTTATTATTAATTACATTTAAAATCATTCCATTTATTATTCTTTATTGGAGTAATTAATCAAACTCTATCTAAAGGAATATTGAACTAAATTTTAAAAATTAATTTTTCTTTTACAGGTAATAATTTTTCTATACAAAATATTACTAATTATAATATTTTTTTTGTAGACACTTTTTAAATGCTAAATGAAAGGTTAAAGATTTAGAACGTTAAATAGTATTTAATAATTTGTTTTTTTTAAATTAAAATATATTTTTAAAAGTCGTTAATAAAAATTTAATTATTTTAAAGTTTTAAAAGTCATATGATGATTTTATCTTTAATTTTTATATTAAAAAATAATAATTATAAATGATTAATGTGTTCCCTCTTCGTTCTCGTTAGAGAAAGGAAGAGGGAACACGTGGATACAAGGTATTTTAACATTAGGGTTTGTTGGTATTAACCAGGAGTAGAATTGAATACTTACAAGAATTTAGTTCTATAGAACAAGCAACGAATGTAATTCGTGAAAACAACGAGAATAAGGTAACTTAGTGTTGCCAATTTGCTTTATATGGAGTAGTTAGTAACTAATTAATATCGACTATCCTGAGAACAGGGTGATTAGCATGTTGACAGAAATTCCTCTAAAAGTCACATCATAGAATAACTTGGTATCTGTATTACTATAATGAATTTAAAATTTTATAGGTTGAACGAGATACTATCAATCGTTCTTGATACTCGAATTGACTTGTCAGCTGTGGTGTTAGCTCATATTCTCATGAGGATCGTATCCAATAACTATTACTATTCAACTACTTCGCATGGGAACAATGAGTTTTGCATTTGAGTACTTCCATCTTTAGTTGGAATCACTTTTGGATTATGCTTAATAATAAAATTATTTAAAGTACGTAAAAGTGATATCATAAGTAAAATAATAATAATCTGGTAATATAAATTCTTTTGTATATTTCACAACTTCTGTGCATTATCATCATCATCGTCCTTATCTTTTGTTTATCGTACGAACTAGAAAATATTAAAATCCCAATTGAAGAGAAGCAGAAACACGATAACAATTCGTTCTCCCAAATGATATATCCTGAAATTCCTAATGAATTCTCCCAAGAGATAATAAACTGTAAACTTCTGTAACTTATATTCGCAATGTTTATTCGAACTAAAATAATACGACTATAGCTAAACATAACCAACCGCATATACATTATTTAAATAAGTATACAATCATACCTCTATCTCGTATTGGGGTTAATATGGAGGTTATTGCATGATCGCTTATCCTCCGAAGAGCCGGGCGAAGCATTTTTGCATGACCATACGAAATTACTCGTGAAAAACTGTGGGAAATGCCTTCCGAGAGGTCTTTTAAGCGTAAATGGCCCCTATATAGACGTGGAGAAAACCCCAAAAGCCCACGTGGACAGCCCGTCCTGGCGAGGCAAGAACCCACAACCGAACTGCCAGTGTTCAGGGAACGGAACGGCCTGGTCACTGGTGGGCGTGTAGTCATACCTCATTATAGCACCTGTCTAAATAGACCGCTCCGATTTTTAGCGGTTACGGAGACATTAAATTTTCTGTATTTCTAAACATTTATTTTACATTTATAAAATCTCTCCTTAACATTAAAAAATTCCAATGAATACTTTTGAATGGAATTGTTTCATAAATATTAAACAGCATAATTTCAGTAACGTTATGTGCGATTTCGCATTTCAAACGACACTGTTACTATTAAATTAAATAACTTACAAACTATGAAATCATATTTGTGTATAATTTCTAATTGTTTGGACTTAAATTTTTAATAAAAAGTAATAAAATGTCATCGATAATCATTGAAAATATAATCGATTGTTTTGAAATAATACTAACATAGAGGTGCCTGTAGCGGTTAGAATATAAATCGAATGGTTTTATATTCAGTGGTTTCGAATTCTGTACATTTTTAGTGAAAGCTTTTCATCTATTTTTAATGTATTCGGAATTCAAACTCTCTTAATAAAAATCCTCTATTTTGCCACAAAAATGAGAAATCAAACGATTTAAAATTCGTTCAAACATGAATCAAAAAAATGGAGAAAACTTTTCATTTTGATATTTTAACAAGAAAAGCATTAGTACTTAAATATAATTAAAGTTCTTAACACATCTTTTATTCAGTAATTTAATCATTTCTATTTAATTCATTCACATTCTACCTTATGGTTGAGAAATGTGCTTTATTTTTTTAAATAATTTTTGAAACAATTAATTAAGGTAAAGCATCAGTACAATATAGACGATATTAGAACCAGGGATTTAGTCGTATATTAAAAAATGCCAGGGCACTAACCGGCCCCTCGAGTTTGAATCGATACTGTCTGCGGAGGAGCCACCGTCTATAGAGTTTTGTACGGGAAAAGAGCAACTTTGTGGAGCAATACGTCGTTTTTGGCGATAAAATGCGCCAAAAAACGACCTATATACGTAACCAGCGCAAAAAGTCACGTACAAGTATTAATTTCCTCAGTTTTTTTGGTCGAGGTACGTAAAACCCAATCTAAATGTTCATAAAGTACAAGGGTTTCATCCTGCTTAAAAAAATAAAATGTACAGGGCTACGTCTTGCTAGGTCCTGGTACGACCACAGCGCTGATTAGAAATCCTTAATTAGTCCAAATATAGGCGTTCTGGGGGACCCGGATTAGTAAAATATTCAGATTTTTCCCTGATAAACATTCATTGTAATTAATTTATTATATCGTCACATTATTACATTTAATATTGTTATGAACAGTAGTAAATATAATCATCAGATTTAACTATATTATATAATAATATTATAAACAAGATTTAATTCTTCATAAGCATCAATTACTGACAGAAGAGTTGATATACAATCAGAATTGAATCTCCAGTTAAATGAAATTAAAACTGCAATTAAATAGAGAACAGACTAATAATATTTACATTGTTCAAAGCAGATGTGATCATTGTCTGAGATATAATAAGATGTCAATTAAACTTATTCAAATATTGAGTATACATTCAGTTTGTATTATTTATTGCATTAACATAATGCTTATGAGAATCATTTAGATAACTTTTATAATTTAATACAGTAAAATATAAAATGTAATGATTATATTTTTATTATTATGTTTATGGAAGAGGCATGAACTAGGCATTTAATGCCAGTTATAACTTTATATATTTGTATTTATCGAGAAACTTTAACACTTGGGGACCCAGGCCCTACTAATCTCTATGTAGATCCGCCCCTGGAAGTATTACTAAAAACAGAATATTAGTACAAATTTGTAAAGTATATTGATAGTATTCTTTCGAAAAAGTTATTTGTTCTTAGAATTTAACCTTACGCCGTGACAAAGAAATATTCTTAATTATGTTTCTTCGCTCTTTATGCAAAAAGCTCTTTATCTGTTGTCTAACATACTGGAAATGTATCTTGGACAAGGACATAGTCTGCTGCAAATTGTACTACGTTATCATTAAATAAATAAATAGGTTTGAAAGTAATTGGAATGTTGAATATAATTCAAGGTTTCTCGACAGAAAACACAAATGAAGAAAAACAATCTAATTCTAAATGAGAGAAGAAATATGTTTGTTGCCTTAAAAATTAGTATCAATTTGTTACAGTTCTTTGAATTGCCTAATGCTTTATTTCACTATTTAAAAAAATGTAAAAGGATATTTTCAAAACATTCTATCAATGAATTTCTATTTAATGGAAATAAATATATAATTATAGAGATGATAATATATATATATATATACCGTTTGATTCTATAGTATTTCCTAGATTAAGATTAGAGTCGGTGTGCTGGATGTGTTTAAACTGCTACATTATCTAATGTATATTTTATATATATTATGTTCTATTTTGTAATCAACATGGATCTGTATGAATTGTTAACATGCCATTAACAACATGGAGTAGATAAGGTGTTTTTAATATTATACATTTCATTATTTTAATAATACAGGGTGGCCCAAAAGTTAGTTAACAGAGCTATTTTACAAGAAATTCAGTAATTTATGCAAGAACGTCAACAATTTATAGGCAACAAAGTAGTTCAATAAGATGGCAATTTATATTTAAAATAGTGAACTGACTTTTAAACCACTCTGTAGTTGTATTAATTAAATTCTTAAAACGATGAAATGCAAAGTTCTGAAAGTTATGGAATAAAAAGCTTTTTTATAGAGTTGTGTTTCGTAAGAACTTATTTCAATTTATAATTTAATATTCACATTATAGTCTTTATCATACTGTTTTATTATCTGTGTAAAAATAATGAAATATTCATTATTTATTTATAGATTTTCTTTAAGTAATTACCTTACTATAACTCTATTCCTGTCAGAAAGTTGAGTTTGATCGTCCACATTTTTGTAGTATTTCAAATCACCACAATACTTCTGCAGGATTTTTGGAGTGAAGTGGATATTTGAGTAACCGTCTATAATTGCCAGTTCAGCTTCACCACAGTTGGCTTGAAATTCAAACCATTGTTTCAGGTTGGACTATGAAGGAACTTCGAAAAAAAGAGCCAGTCTGGTCGTACCTATATTAAATGCATGCTCGCGAACGATCGATTTTAATTTTTATCTAAACAAATTTTTAGGTACCAGGAACCAGAATACGCGTTATATAATAAAAATTTACATATATTTATATATATAAATACAATAATTTTTATATTGCAAATATATACATACATTTAAATTGAATAAAATTTTAATTAAAACAAATTATATATAAATATTCTGTTCATTATTGAAAATGGAAACATTAGAAACAATTATAAATTTCTTAAAGAATTTTAACTCAGAATAATGAAGAAAGTATACTCACAATTAATTAATATAATATTTTAAACCAGCATCTGAAACAATGTGCTTGCCCATAATACAGAGATATTTCTCAGTCTTATCCAAAACTTGTTATCAACTACACTTTAAAGAACTTCATGCTCAATATTTCGCTTTCTACAGGGTGATCAAACATTTCTCGATAACATTTTTATTGCTTTATAGTGCCATTTTCAACAATGCTTTTAGGAAAATCCTATTTTGCAAGATACAAGATTTGTGGTTTCCTATGAACATTTACATTCAACTAAACAATAAAACAGGTTGTTGGATGTTTAGAGTTTCCTAGCGAGAGAATCACACTATGTAATGGAAACACGTTGAAGAGATAATTATAGTAAAAATTGCTAAAAATATTAATAATTTAAAACAAAAACGAGACAAGAATATATAAATATATTCTTTTATATATTTTAATGTATATAAATGGACCCCTACTAAAAACTATTTCAGGTTGCATTTATGTGTCTGAGTATGTTATTGAGATTTGCTCCTGGATCTTCAACAATTGAAAATGTGCTTTCCAAAATATTTTTCATAGAGGCCCTGCAGTTTTCTGTTACGGCTCTGCTGTATATATTATTCTTTTGTTCTCATTTTACATATCTTCATTGTTTTTAAATGGATGTTCTCTTATTGTTATCATAAAGGTGACTTATTTTGTCTATTGGGCATCCCTTGTATTTTCTGCATAAAGAATGAAGAATGATACGTGCATAAAATTTTTATACAATATTTAGTTGTGGTGAAGCTGTAAACAAAGCAAACCTTTTAAACCATTCTATATTTCAACATATTAAATTAATAAATCCATTATCTAAGGTACAAGTTCGAATATGAGGGAACTGCAGTTTACTAAAAGTATTCATTAAGTATAAAATAATTAACCAGAAATATTACAAGAGTAAGGAAATCAATTATATTTATATTTATTAATATTTTAACATTTTAAATTCAACTTGGAGAATTTTCAGTCCTTTAAATATATAAATAGAATGAAAGCTAAAAATCGAACATATACATTTAAAATTATAAAGTTAAATAATTTATTATATACTTAAAAATTATAGAAAATTACATTATTTTATTATAAATATTTGAATGGCGATTAATATATTAATTTATTTTCAATATTAATTTGAATACAATATTTTAAATTTAAAGTAAAATTTAATAGATTATTAGCACGAAAAGCACAAAGTTCACGAGTAAATTAATCATAATAATCTGTTCTGGGACTTCCTATTAATGTAATTTCTCACGAAAAGTTAGGTAATTTTCAGAAACTTGAAATCTCACAAAATTGCCAATATTATTATAGACAAGAATTGTTGCCAATTCCAAAATAACTGGATAATTATTATTTTTAAAACGAGGAAAATTATCACAATGCTAGGCTGCAATTTTTAATCATATTTTTAATTCATTTAATTTCAAATTGCAACCCAATAAAGAGAATTATTGCTGTGTTAACATGAAAATTTTACAAGAAAAAGAAGTGTAATTGTCTTATAAGTATTGAATTCCAATGTTTTGCGTATGATTTCCTTACTTACAATACAGCAATTTTTTTCTGTATTTCTAACAATAACCTATTGTAATCGATATTATACTCTACCAAGACAATATGGATCTCATCTTCTACTGTAACCATACATTTTTAAGTATACAATAACCCAAGAAAAATACTCCTTTATATTAAAATATATTATCTTCTCTAAAAATTATCAAAATTAAATTACATGAAAGCTAAAGAAGACACAACGAGTAAGACAATAAAAGCTCTCTTAACTAATTTATATAATAGAAATGATTTTTAAATCAAAGCCGAATGACTCATATATTTTTCAAGTATAATTAATCATAGAATATATACCCGAATATATAGATTCTATATATATAAATTCCGCAACAAAATTTTAATATCTTGAAATTTTAACCAACAATCCTCACTTAAATTTCGACTTTTTATGATAAATTTTTGTTCTGAAATACTTTATATTGCATTAATATGTATGGGATATTAAACTTCTACCTTACTTCTCAGTTTTCTAAATCTTTTTTCCCATCGAATATTATTTGAAAAACGACCTTTAAGTTTTTGGATGATTGCCACAATCTGCAAAAAAAAAGAAATCAAGATTTTTCAAAGTATAATAAAGTCAAGATGGTTACATATCCCTTAGGAGGAATTGACGAAATTGTTGGCACCATGTCAATTTTATTGCCAAATAACTGACATAATAATTTTTGAATGGTATTAATTTTTAATAAAAATCCTAATAAATTTAATTAAATGTATTTTTATAAAATAAATAGTACATAAATTTTCCAAAAAAAAAAAAAATAATNATAAAAAAAATTAGTGTAAATTATATTGTAAACTATATTAATTTTAATAACTTCAATTTCTATTTTATATATCTGTTATAAAACTGAACAAACAGCCATTAATTTGGCTATAGTTTTAAAATTAAAAGCTGAAACTTGCAGGTTAGGTATTGTGAATTATAATAATAAAAATAATTGCTCATTTTTTTTCTATCTATTCCTTTAACATTCTAAACAAAAATTATTGATTAGCAATAGAAAACGTTGTTTATAATTAATTTATAGCTTTAAAGAGTAACTTTAATTAGATATGTCCTCATTAAATGTAGGCAGTGTGTCGTGTTAGTGAAACCGTCAATTTGTCATGATGATAGAAGTAAAAATATCATTGAAGAGAATTCATAAAATGATGAATTAAAAATTGTCTGGTTTCCTCTTCTGAGTAATCAAGCATAATAAGTTATTAATTTTAATAATAAAATTATATGGTAGATTAGATATAACTTTTAATTCTATTTAAATATATTTATAAACAGATAAATTAATAATTTTATTAAGAAATTATATACAGTAATACAATACTGTACTACATGACATTTATATTTTCTTTAAGGCTAAATATATGATAATATTATAATAATTATCTGTTAAATAAGCTAATTAATTTATATAAAGAAATTTTATAATTTAATAAACTAAATAAACAATTAATATTTTCGATAAATAATTGATTTTTTTTTAAATAAAGTTTTCGAAATTAAAATATTATTTAATAAGTTTAATGATAATTAATCGTTGTGTTAAAATTTTCATAAACAGATTTTTAATAAATTATTTAAAATTTTATAATTATATTTAAAAAAAATTAATATAAGATAATTTATTTTATCAATTTAAATAATAAAATTAATTAATAATTATTCGGTAACTTACCTATACTGCCATATAACTGCAGTTGGAGTATTCTTAGATATATATTTTGATTATAATTAACACGGATTAACCAAACACAATCGATATTTTTTGGGAATTTATTAGGATAACCAGGAGATGTTATAATTCCACCAACACCTGTGATAATTCCTCCACAATTTTTAATAGTTGGAGTAGATCGAGGAGGTGGAATGAATTCTGTAACGTTATAAAGTAAATTTTTTAATGAACTAACTCAAAATTTTACTGATATTTCATATACTTAATTCAGTTTAAAAGAAAAAAATATACATATATTATTTAAATTAAACTATGGGAGTAACCTATCAATCTTTCAGATTTAAAATGTTTAAATAAAAATGAATGAAAGAAATTATCATATTTTGAATGATAATAAATCGATGATAATTCTATGTAAATCGCTTAATATTTTTTATAAAATTTTTATTTATTCGAATGCCAACTTTTGATAAATGAAGTTAAACAGAAAAGAAGTCTGTTTTCATTCAACAATATACAATTTTTGTATAATAATGTTATTAGAGGTGAGTTGATCCAATTATTATGACAACGCCTAGAATAATTAGCATTAGAAAGTTTTATGTCTTTTGAAGAATCACAAACATTTTATGACAAAGTTAGTCCTTTAATCAAGTTAAATCGATATTTAATACTAGAAGAATCTCTAGGAATTAAAAACGTTTATGCCTTTTTTAACAATATAATCCCATTGATTGAAATAGTTTCATAAAAGTTTGAAAATTTGATAAATTTACTTTCCGGTTCAAGCAGAATAAAGACGAAAATTTCAACAAAATAACAATAGAATAAAGTATTTTAAAACACTATTTCGTCATTGATAAATGAATGAATTTATCTATTTTGAATGCATTGAATTGATATGAAATTTATATGGATAAATGAATTTCATAGAAAATGAATAAATGGAAATAAAGTTCATTTGTTTGGCTAAACGAATTTTTATTTATTTATTCAAATAAATGAATAAATTTAAGAAGAATTAATTAAAGAACAGAGTCGACTTTTTCTTTTGAGGCTCTTTTTATTTATATTTAGTTTTTAATTTTTAAAAATCGAAATTCTAAACAGGGGTCAACAAATAAAAGTGGTTATTGAGAATCCCTCTTCTGTAATAAAATTAAAATATAATTTTTATGTCGTTAATTTATGTTAGATTTATTATTTTTAATACTTTAAACATTATTTTCTACACAATCCATAATTTAATCAACATTTCTCTAATTATTGCCATTTTAAAAATTCATTGTTGCTGTTAGATAATAAAGTAAAAGTGTAAGAAGTGGTAAGATCAAATGACAAATTTCTCTTAGCTAAACAGGAAAAGTAAAGTAGTTTTTAACGGATGCAACCTCATTTCCGACACTGACCGATATATGTAGAACATATATTTTCTTAATCTGATAAATATGTTACATTTATTACTCAGTTCATTTTATAGCCAGGAGTGTGTACCATACTATAGACTATAAACTATTAAAATAACAAGTGAAGATCTATTGCTATAATTTGTCAACTGTATAATGGAAGAATATTCACTGTTTATAATATTTTATCCATATTGAAACTTTCCAATATCATTACTTAATTTTAACTTTATATTATCTACTTAGAAAGAATATATATATATATATACGCGGATGACACCGAGTTATTTAAATTAATGTGCTTATAAATTTAATTAAAGTTATATAAGCGATTAAATTATATTAATTTATGCTTCTGTAAATATAATTTTGTTGTAAAAAGTTATAAATTTATATTTAAGACCATTAAGTAATACGAGACAATTTAAAAATTAATGTTGTGTAAAGTAGATATTAAGAAGATTTTGTTAAGAAATTACACTCAAAATTTAAAACTTTTATAAATAAAATTTTATCTTGTTTAAAGTTAACTGTACATTGATCCCAGATTCATTAGAGGAGGGCCATGGAATCGGTTCTGTTTAATTATTATAATTAAATTATATTTAACTTTCTATAAATATTAAATTTAATTATTTAGAATATAAATTAAGTTTTGGGGATATTTTTTTTAAATTACATACTTTCATCTGTAAATTCATATTTTCCATAAAAACCACGATGATGTACCACATGATTGGACTTAAATATTATTTCAGCAATGGGATGCATAAATAATAAAGAAAATGGATCTTGTCTACCACAATATCTTCCTACTAATTGCTTTTCATTTTGAATGCTGATTGACGATATATCAGCGTAATCTGTCAAACACCTTTAACATATAATAATAATAATAATTATTATTATCAATAAATTTTATATAATAAAATTTTCTAATTTTTTAAAAATATTATATATGTTACTTACCCTTTACTAAAAGGAGCTTCGAGATCGAAAACGTAAAAACTAAGGTTTAATGTTTCAAATTCTTTTCCAACGAAGTGATAAATGCATTGAAGATTTTTAGGATATTTACTTGGAAAATTTGGTGAAGAAAAATTTCCGATTTTTCCAAAAGAACTGTTGAACTGAAACGAACAATCCGCTATAGGATAAAAGAGAAAAGTATATAAGAAATTATTTATTTTCAGCAATGGGATGCATAAATAATAAAGAAGGATCTTGTCTATCTCAATAGATAACATTCCATTATATATATATATATAAGAAATTCGCGTATNAATTGTTAAATTCATATATATTCTTTACTTTTATAAATAAACGACAATTCATAAAAAGGAATAAGAAGAAACTTTCTTCATTCTTAATTAAACTTAATGAAATATATATCATATAAAAATTAAAATAAATAACTAAATAAAAAGTTGGAAACGTTGTTGGTAGACTTTCTCGGCATTATTTGTTTACATTTCTAATAATTGCTACCATTACTTTTAAGTCTTTAAGTCTTTAGATTGACTGAGAGTTATTAAGAAAATGGAGCCAATATTCCCCGAAAAATGGTCCAATTTACTTGAAAATTTTTAGGAAAATTTCTACCTAATCCACAAACCACTCTGTAAAATTTCAGAAATTTTTGACAAAAGGCACAGCAGTTACTAAGCCTCAAGTCGTGTCAAAAATCGTGCTCCACTTATACACATACACACAGGGAAAAAAGATCCAACTGTTTTGCATTTATCGACGTTTCAAGATTCCCTGAGTATGAAAATGTAAAAATCTTGGGGAATAATTTTTTTGACCGATTGCTATACTTTCCCTCTTTTATATAACAGCAGTAAAAATAAACAAAAACACTTTAAAGATATTCGTATAAACTTTTATATGTCTATTTTTAAAGTATCGTGATCATAAAGAAAAAAAAATTCAATAGTTTCAATTGAAGAGTAATAAAAGATATTCGTACCAGCAGCAAAGTATCTATAAGTAGTTTATATGACAAGAAATATCTGTTAAATTATATAAAGAAACGTTTACAAGACGAAAAGGAACTTCTCAACGATTAAATATAAATAAAAATGATCAAATACTTTAGATTTTTATTAATTTTTAAACTATTAACGACTTTTAAAACTGCTGATATTGAGAAGGAGGTAGATGTATTGACAGGGGGAACCATAAACTAATTAATTTAAATGTAAAAGTTTGAAAATTAAAAGAAAGAAGTTAGAGAATAGAAAATCAGAAGTGATTTTCACGAAAATTACATTAATGATTGCAAAGAATATCGCAGTAAATAGTTAAAGTTTTAATTAATTTGGTTACAATGAAGATTAAAACTTAATTTCGAACATCCTTTACATACTTTATGAAGAAATTTCATTAAAAGATATGTAATTAATAATAATTTTATAATGCTTGTAGTTTATTAAAATTACCACTTCACTCAGAGGGACAGATCCGTAATCTTCAGATTGTGGTGAAACCCACAGTAGAATATTCACTACGGATCAAAACCAGTTAAGGGGCACATAATATTTGTAGAAAACCTACCATTGATTAGTTTTAAACCATAATTATATTGTAAAATTGAAAATGATTTATGAAAATGAAATTTTACATACGTTAAAAAAGTATCAGGCTGGATAGAATTAATATTTTAGCATACAATGGCTGGAAAATATGATTAAAATCTTTGTGAATGACTGTAGGAGAGCATTATTTAATATTTCTTAAAATAATATTTTAAATTATAATTAAATTAAAGATGCTACGGCTAGATGATGGGGTTATGTATCCAAATAGATGATAGGTAATCCCAAAAGTATGAAGAGAAAAATGGTGGGAAGAAAGGAAAAAAGAAAGAGATGACGATAGCTAATCTCTCTGATCTTTCAGCCTTTGGATGAAAGAGAGAAACAAGAATAAAATATGTTTTTACCGTGTTATAAGAAGAATTCAAACTTTTAGCAACACAAAAATAGCAAATTTAAGCATTGTTCAACCATTCACTTAAATTACGATTAAAAAAAAAATATATATATATATACAAGTTTGAATATTTTCACAAATTTCTTTCTCAATAACACAATAAAAATATAGCAAAGTAAGTAAATTCTGAAACTTCGAATCTTCTAGTCCAATAACTAAATTATAAATTATGATTTATTTATATAATATTAATTCTCAATATTGTAAAATGCATTTACTATTCTTTAAATTTATTTAATTTAAAATATATGCTCTCCATCTCAAATTATTAGTGTCATGCCCCTGTACATCATACTTTTCCTGATAACAACGGAGTCATGCAGGTCATCCAACTCCGTTCTGGGGAAAATTTTTGAATTAAAATCACGTGATTTCCGGTCTAGTTCGAACATTAAAAATACAAATGTATATAAATTAATGACTTCAGCTTGTAANAAATTTGACAATAAAAAAAATATATATATATTATTTATTTTTCCTTGGATTTAATATTTTATTCATAATTTATGTGTGATATTTGTACTTTCGCCAAGAGTTTAATCTCGGATAGAGTTACTCTTGATTAAACAAAACCTGTAGCTCGGCACCAAGCCAATACAATTACTTAAATGTCGAGAAATTTCTTTAATAATAGATATTAAATTTCTCTTTCATTAGGAACATCACTTTCATTGTATTTTTTTACAGGTTATATAATAAATAACTAATATCATTTACATATTTAATTAAATTATTTATAATTACGGAGCTTTAATCTTTGAATAACTGATAAACCTGTTACAGATCGATTCGAAGGATCAAATTCTGTATTGCTTATGCTAAAATAACATATTATAATTAATTGTATGGAATGTTACATATGAATAAACATGAAAAACAAACTAAACAAAAAACACAGCAACAAATTTTTCATCCTACCGAATTTATTTTAAAATCTGGTATGGCACGATCCACTTTTTAACATTGATTCATTCATTCTTTGATCTCGAAATAAGCATTATTACCTTACTAATACTAATCTGTCACGTAAACAAAGCCATATTTCAAATTATTAAACATATATTAAAAATTCATAGTAATCCTTAAACATTCTATGACGGATTATCCGATTTAACACCTCAGTTAACGTAAAACAAGAATAGAACTGTAGTTTAATCATCATCATACTAAACAATATGATGATGACTTACTGTGCATCTGTGTAATAATATAATTTTATATTAATTTGAGAAAACAGGAAGTTATCATCATATTGTTATAGGATATACTATAGTACACACCATACACTGATATATAACAGATGTACTGTACCATATAAGTCTACATCAGTAAAATACATCTATCATATAGTATATACATGATAGATATATATCTCTTTCTTGTTGTCTGGATAATCTGTCTCCAACTGCTCCCTCACTAGTTACTCTGTCTTCTTTACAGCTTGCATCTTCTTCTTCATTGTCTGTGTGCTCCTTGAGGATAGGTGCTGATGTAAGCAGTATGAGTCACTGAGTCAGCCTCAACCAGAAACAGGGAAAAAAAAATTTGCAGCACGACTTGATGACGTCGGCAAAATAAAGATCATGAGTCGTGACAGAAATTAATTCTGTGGGAATGTCATATAACAAATGGTTTATTTATTGAGATGACCAACTACAGTTTTACAAACTGTTGTACTAAAATTGATACATTGTGGTTGAAGTTTGTGATTGCCATATGCTCATCCGTACTATTTGGAACCTATAAAACTTCAGTGACATTGAGCTACCAGTAAATATTCACCAATGGAGTAGATTTTTTGGCACGAATGTTTGATATATATATTGGAACTGAAATACAGGGTAGGAGATTCACATTTACAAATTGTGAAAATAAGCTCCACCCTAATATATAGTGGAAATACATGGGTAATTAGTAATTAAATTGGACTTCATTGCAATAGTGGTGAATTATTAGAATAGACGATCTGAAACATAATGTTTATCACATAAATTCTTATATCTATCTATGATGTAACAATATATATGCGTACTTCAATGTCCTATACAAAAGCTTGTAGAGGCTCACTGTTTAAAGTTTTTAGAGTACCTGTTGTTTGAAAGTCTTCGAACGTCATATGACGCAGTCAAAGACATTATGCATAGCTGACAGAGTTCGAGAAAAACAGTCTCATCGAACTGAGAAAAGCTGAATGGCCGTTGCCAAATCTCGGTTCTGTTTGTATGAAGTACTTACCAGTACTTCATACATGTTAGTGAGGAGAACAGCTGGTGAGCGCTTCAATCCAGCCCTTACTGTTGAGCGGTACACTGTCTCCATTACTAGCGTACTGATCTAGGAAGTCCCCTCTATGATAGTCGGTTTGGTTTGATTTGATGGGATAAGGCAATGCAACACATGTATGATCTGCTAAGCGGAGCGGAATGACTCTCGGGAAAACTTTCTATGGGAAACTGGCCCTTATTTAGATGTTACACAAGTGAAGACACCCCACGTGACCAAATACTAGTGTTTAGTGGTTTTATATGCTCGGCTACGGTGGTGTATACCCCCTGGTAATTCTAGTAGTGGTACAAGACCATGTGGGACGTTGACGACACGGCATACATTTAGGAAATCCTGCCCCCTCGCATGTTGCCATTCATAATTAGACTTTAAATAAGCATTCATTTTGAACAAAAAATTCTCGGCAGCATACAACTATGATTTCCCAGGAATGTCTCTGTCAAGTTACTACACTTTGTCTTTTCGTTCTCCAGATTTGTCGCCCATTGAACATTTGTCAAACCAGATGGGATTCCAGCTTCAGCCACGTACGAGTGTGGCGAATCTGAAGCAGTAATTGCAACATCCGTGGACAAATCTTTCTCAGAAATCATATGGTGCCTGTATACTTGCATGGTTTGCTGCATATATGCAGGCAAAAAAGGTTCTATAAACTACTAAAGGTTCATTTAAAATTTACCGTTGTTCCACAGGATATATCTGTTTGCTAAGATATTGTAATTATTCCCATCGTCAATATGTTCTCACTAATAAGATTACATTCGATTCAGCGCCTTCCTTTTCGCGCGTAAGATTTTACCTCAAATTATTAGTATTGGCTTGCCCCTGTACATAATACTTTTCCTTTAACAATAGAATCGTACCGTT